TTGCATACTAAAGTATTTGGGAAATGCTGCTCTTTATTTTCAAATGATATCAGACAAAATAAACAGGTAAATGGAAAAGATAAAAAAAAATGGGCCAAAAATAAGTATTTGATGATCTGGCTAATGGTTTGGCAAGAATCATTACTTTTAATATTCTTGAATTTTTTTTTTTAGTTTCAAAAATTATCTCAAAATGTTATCAAAAACAATGTTTTGATATTATTTTAAATTAAAAAACAAACACAGCATATTAACACCCTATTTAGCTCCTTAATAGAAAAATCTCACAATAAATATATTTATACCTAACATTGACAAAATTCACAAACAAGCAACCAATAAACTGATTTTAAATAACAGATGTAATCAGTATTTTTACATATAATAGTAATGACAAGAGTTTCTGTCCCTCCTGGTCCCACAACCATTTAGTTCCAAATAAATACATTGAGGCTTATATTAACAACAAACTGTTTGGCCAATGGCTCAGGCTTCTTATTGGCTGGTTATCTCTTAATTATTAACCCATTTTTATTAAACTATGTATTGTCATGAGGCTGTGGCTTACCTGAAATGCTCCAGCATGTCACTCCTTTGGTGGCTAATGGTATCTCTCTCTGGTGACTGCTCCCTGCCTTTCCTGTTCCCAGAATTCTCCTAGTCTGGTAGCCTTGCCTACACTTCCTGTCTGTCTACTAGCCAATCAGCATTTATTCATTAACCAAAAAGAGAAACATATATTCACAGCACACAGAAGGACATCCCCCATCAAAATAACATTTTACAAATAATTATTCTTTTAAAGGGATAACTGTTGCTGACTAATCCTCTAAAAGAAGACATGAGTTTTTCAAATACTTAAGTATATGCTTGGAAACTACAATGTGGAATTTAGCCTGGTAATATAGTAATAAAAATTTAAGGACCTACAAAGACATATATTTGGGAGGTAAGAGTTCTAACAACTGTTTTAACAAATAACTATATTGTCCCAAAGATACTGTAACACTTAATGCATGGAAAATAGACAAGGAAAGATTGAATAATTAACCTGTCTCATGGATTAACAACCACAAACCAATTCTTGACAAAGGAAAACCCTTCTTTAATTGGCCTGGAAAACTGGGTCCTTTGAGTGACTTAATTAGCTTACTGACACTCTTGAAATCACAGCCCAAATTGGATAAGCATGTAAGTACTTTCAGAATCTTGTCTAGTTCACGTACAGAACCAAATTTCTAAGCACAAATGCTCTGCTTTCTTTGTTGCCAGAAAAACAGTAGCATGACAACTTAATGAAAGTGAGTAATTACCATTGACATTACAGGGAAAAGATGACTAACAGAAATGTTACTGTCGGTAATCTTGAGACTTTGGAGAGCAGAAAGGACATACTAGTATTCACAAAGAAAGAAGACATTTGACCAATCCAGTGAAAGCCAAGCCCTTAATATGAACAAACTGTCTCCCAGCGATATGCAATGACTTTTAGCTATTTCTGCACCATGACTGTCACCTGCTGCCAAGATTCCCTACCATGATGGATTCTTATTGTTCTAAAAACCACAAACACTCTCCTCTTTTCTATCAATAGCTTTAGGCATGGTGTTGGAGCTTAATGAAAGAAATCACCATCTCTGTGTTACAGCACACACACACACACACACACACACACACACACACACACACACACACACACACACACACACACACGGTGGAGATCCTGAAGCTTTCCAAAATGGCTTTTATACATAATCCCAAAAGTACCCTGAGAGTCAATCTCTTCAAGGCCATCTCCAGAGTTTGAGGAAGAAGTCCACAGTGAAGTGAAAGTGTGCTTAAAAGTTTTCTATCTGAGGAACTATGGAATAAATTCACACACATGCTGTTAAGTCATAGTCTTTATTCTTGTGCCTATTTTTCTGTCCTCTAATTTTCTTCTAAGTTCCAATTCTTTCCAGTTCTCCTTTGCTTCTCTGTTCACCTCATTTAAATACATTTTTTACAGGAGGCTTAAGGAAAAAAGAAAAAAGTTACAATCTCATTGGTCACAGCACATTCCTTGGGTAAACGATAAGGAGCTGAGCCATTTACCATGGCAACACATAAAAGGGGGCATGGTGCTTGGCAACTTCCCAGGCAGTGGCATTGAAAACATCCCAAACCCAAAAAATACATTATCTTATCTTGTTTGTAACCCAGAACACAAAAGGGGGTTGGGGGGGGTTATAACTTGGGCTGCAAGGCCAGAACATCCATTGTTGTCCTGGCTAACTGTGAAACTTTACCCACAGTAGCTGGACATAGGACTGATTTTCTTTGGACTTACTTAATCAATTAATAGTTATTTGGGACCTAAACAATAAACAGTTAGTTGAAGCCTGAGTTGTATATCATAAACTGAGGTTAGAAGTTTGTGCAGAGTTTTAATTGCTAAAAGTTTAGTAGGGAATGCTGCTAGTCCCCCATCAGCTGGACCTGGCAAGGGAAACAGGCAAGCAATTCAGGTCACTTTTGTCTCTGAAGGACTTTGATTCAACAACTCAGACACTTTGTAATTCTACCCTTGAGTAAAATCTGTGAAAGTCCAACTAGTTATCTATCCACAGAAATATTACATCTGGCCAATACACTGTCAGCTTAGCTAATTATAGAGAGCAGGCATCTAAGTGTCTTACAGTCCATGTGGAATAATGTATCTAGTTATGAAACATATTCTAGTATTTTTTCTACATATCAAAATTATGCAGCTTGATGAGGAGTCATCTTCCTGACTATCCATGGATACTTGTGCCATAAAATTAAGATGCAATCATGATATTACACATACATATCACATGAAATTACACACTACAGTGCAGGTAATGGGGAAAAACCATAGCTGCTTTTGTACATGTGAAATAACAAACAGGAGCAACATTGTCCAGAGTGGGTCCTCCTGCAGGCCCTGCTTGGGCAGGATTCTCCTTCATCAGAGAATAACTCCTCTGGTGGGTTAATATCTGAATACTAGTTATCACCTGCTGTATACTTCCACAGCCCACAACATAATCCTCACATTTTTTTTAAATAGTTCACTAAACTAAACGATCCCACACATCTGACTCAGAAGTGAGAAAGTAAACTGTTACTGAGTTTAAACTCTCTGAAATGGCTATTCACCAATAATGTTAAGACTACTGTTGAGAATCTTTAGAAAACAATTGTTTATCTCCCTGAATCAAGAGACTTTAATGAGACAACGTTCAACTGATCTGTCTAGGTTCAATGTCTGTGTCCTTTCCACAACACAGGTAGAATTTAGAAATAAGCAAAACAGATAGGAATAAGGAAAATTCTATCATCTAATAAGCTAAACATCTAACTCCATCATCAAAACAAATTACTTGTTACTGACTAAAATGTAGTCATGAGAATTTACTAAATATACAAAAATAAAAGTTACCAAGTCCACAGCCTGCCTTAATCTTTTATCAAACTAAAATTAATATGAAATAATGAACCTACTCTCAATGAGACTGTTCATCACTGCACCAACACTTTATAATATCTTCTATTCCTCAAATAATGAAATATTTATTTATTAAAATATTATTTTCTGGGGCAATGGCTCAACAGTTAAGAAAACTTGTTCTTCCAGAGGACCCAGGTTTAGTTCCCACTATCCACATCAGCTTACAATGGTCTGTAACTCCACTTCTAGGAGATTCAATTCCCTCTTCTGGCCTCCATGGGCCCCAGGCACACACATAATGCACTTACAAGCATGCAGGCAAAGCACTTATATATATATAATGAAAGAAAGAAAAAAGAGAGAGAGAAGAGAGAGAGAGAGAGAGAGAGAGAGAGAGAGAGAGAGAGAGAGAGAGGAGGTTATTCTCTAAATGGAAATAATGAAACACCATGGGCAAAAAGAAAAATAAAAAATGGAAACTTGGTTTACTCAAAAATTACCCATAAGCACCAGGGCATTGGTGGCTCACACCTTTAATCCCAACACTCAGGAGGAAGAGGCAGGTGGATCTCTGTGAGTTTGAGACCAGCCTGGTCTACTAAGCGAGTTCCATGACAGGCTCCAAAACAATACAGAGAAACGCTGTCTCGGAAAAACAAACAAACAAAAAATATTACCCCATAAGCAACATCTTGGTTCAAGATGAGCAGGGAGTTCCAGGGATGTGGATTTCATGAGTGGACTTTTCAGTAACACAGATGCCCTTGAGTCATCTGTGCTCCTATAACCCCAAATATACTCATAGGTTCTCTAAGCTATGCTTGGAGTGAATCTCCTTAGGCTTTTAGATGTCTTCCCTATCTGAAGTAAACATATACTTGTCATGTCTCCCCCAAGAAAACTCTCACAAAAGTCCCTTAAGTAAATAAAATATATGAAAAATAGCCAACTCAAACTGTCTATATTGATAAGCCCAAAGCCATACATTTTTACCTTGAACAGCTAGAGGTTATAGGTGCCAACTCTATGCAATGGAAAATTTGTAAATAACCTCAGACTTCACACAATACCATGAGAAGGTGGTTATCAATTTACAGTACTACAGTATGTACCAGAGCTAATATTATGTAGCCATATCCCATCTTTACATTTATCTCTATTGTGAATGGCGCTGATACATGTTAACTTAGCAGCTGCATATATACTTAATAGTACTGAATGTCAAGACTATAATCTATACATATTTTTGCATTTTTTTATTTTAAAGTATTTTATGCTGCAGGACTCCTCTGAATTAAAAAAAAAAATGTTACAAATACCCACACACAAAAAACAATCTGCCTGCTGGGCGTTGGTGGCGCACACCTTTAATCCCAGCACTCGGGAGGCAGAGGCAGGCGGATCTCTGTGAGTTCGAGGCCAGCCTGGTCTCCAGAGCGAGTGCCAGGATAGGCTCCAAAGCTACACAGAGAAACCCTGTCTCGAAAAACCAAAAAAAAAAAGTTTATTTTAAAACGAGAAATTTCTCTTTCTTCACAATGGTATTTCATAATAAAATAATGCAATTGTTTCAGGATTCAGTTAATTTATTTTATTACAATCTTTTTTTTTCCAAAACAACTAAGTTAAATATAATTTAACTGTCAAAGCCAAAATACAGGCACATGAACTATCCAATTATTTCTCCAATTGTTTGTTAACATTTTACAAAGGAAGTGCTCAACAAAATAAACACCCTACATAATCCACAGGGGTGCAGGCTTTTAATACAAGTAACTCAGTGATTCAGTTCTTTCCAGAACTTAAGTAAGATTTCTTTGAAAAAGACAATTAGGACTGCTTGAGTTATGAAGCAGGAATAAAGTACTGAAGAGAGATATCATCATGAACCAAAACAAGATGAAGCAGAGTATTGCTCGAAATATTACATAAGGCCATTGTGGGGTTTGTCTGCTGCTGTCCTTCAAAAAACAGCAGAAGCTTCCTGTTGTCCACACTCACCTGCACCATGCTCTCTGGGTCTTTTTCTTGAGTCATACCCAGAACGGCTTTTGGAGGATTTCCGAGATTTTTAAAATAGCTTTTAATAGTCACCACATCAGTTTCTACACTCAAGTTCATCTTGCCGTTTTGATTTGCTTCCAGCAGCACACGATCGCCCACATTTGCCATCCTCTCCACCATGTTCTTCAGCGTCTTCAGAGCTGGCAGATAAACACTGACATCAGAGGCCGGAACCCGGGGCTCCGCACACTCCTTCCACCACCTTCTGGGAAGCACCTTCACAGGCAGGTCGTGGACCATCGCACGGCTGTGGCCAGGGCACGACGCCAGCTCCACAACCACAGTGAGGCAGGGGCGCCGCTTGTTGGTGAGCTGGAGCTTCAGGGATGAAGCGTTGCCCGCATTCCTCACGGCTCTGGCCAGGTGCTCAGACATCAGCTCTAGATAGATCTCATTGAATTCCTCCGAAACACCCTCCATACAGAAGTGCCGGAAGACTCCCCGCCTCACCTCACCCCACAGCTGGGCCTCACCCAGCAGCCCGGTGGGGCAGAAGCACAGCCTGTCACGACACACGCGGAGCACACAGACCTTCGCCAGCCTTGCTACAGTGCCGCTGACCTGGATGAAGAGCTCTAGAATACTCTTGCTGGTGATCTTAGCCCGAAATTTCATGGCGCCTGACTGGTAGAGGGAGTGCTGTGAGGAGAAAACTGACAGACAGGCCAGCTGGTTCACCCTTCCTGTCTGGAGTGCAGCCCGCTTAACCTTCCGGCCTGGGGCTCAGCTGGCTCACCTACCCAGTCTGGGGTGCACCCTGCCGCCCCTCCCTCCGGTCCCAGCACGGTCTACACTTTGGTTCCACCTGAGTGCAGGCGCACTTCCACCTGAGGCAACTTAGGGCAAACACTATGGGAGGATGGCCTCTGGACGCATCCTTACCTTTCCACTTGCCTGTACTATTTGAATGCTTTACTGCTTCTGGTAATCTCATAAGAAGGACACTATACACATGGTGACCACAATCAAAAGTTGAGATAACCAGCCCTTTTAAAATATTTGGCACACACACATATATATATATATATCGTCTTGTTCAATCCAGACGTTACTTGTAAATGTCAATACATGTGTCACACAATGTGGTAAATTAGACAATTAGACATGCACTTTACAACCTGACATTTGCACCTAAAATACATATAAAATAGATATCATTCACACCATTAAACAATAACAAGTCTTATCATTTTTGTGGCTGGTTTTCCATCATATTGATAAAATAATTATTCCATAAGAGGAACTCACACGATCTAATTTTGACCTATTAATAGGATAACAATGAATATATGTTATACAAAATACTTTTACTTTTGTTAATATTTACTTGCAACCAGGTGGTGGTGGCACACGCCTTTAATCCCAGCACTGTGTAGGCAGACACAGGCAGATCTCTGTGAGTTTGAGGCCAGCCTGGTCTACAAAATGAGTTCCAGGACAGCCAGAGCTGTTACACAGAGAAAACCTGTGTAAGAAAAGAAAAAGAGAAGAAGCCAAAAAGAAAAAAAAGAAGAAGAAAGAAAATTTTACTTGCATTAAATTTAAAGGGGAACTCCTGGTGATAGCATATACATATAAAACTGTTCTATGTTACCAAACTGTCACAGAGAACATTCTATCAACATACCTTCCCATCAACACCATCGCACAGCAAACTAGTTTGCATGTAGCAATGTGATGGGTAGAATAACATAGCTTCAACTTGCAAGGTCAATTTTACTTTCATTACTTTTTTATGGAGTCTGTTGCTTGACTTTTAAGGTCTCTGGTAAGGTCCAGCTGGTGACACATGCCAATAATTCTAACACTGGGAGCCAGAGGCAGGGAGGATCACAGGTTTAAAGAAAGCTAGGGTTACATTCCAAGGCCAGTCTAAGCTATAATCTCTAAATAAAATATAGAATTTTATTTCAAATAAATAAATGAATAACAAAAGAATAAAATCTCTGGCAAGAACATTAACCCTCTGTCCCTGTAAACACTGCCTAGATTAGTCTTTGGCTTTCATATTGCTTATGGTGCTCTTTGTATTAAAAAAAAAATTAGATACTTTTATGTTAAATGTATTTGTCTTTTCTCTGTTGATCCTAGAGTCCTGAAACAAATGAAATACAGAGTATGCAGCTCAAGGTTCTATATTCATTCTATTCCAGAAGAATCTTTGGTTAGCCCTACTGTTTTCAACTAGGCAGGGATCCATATTGACCAAGCAGCCCTCTAAGGTCTCTTGGAGCTCAGGATCTGATGACTGGCTACTTCTTCGGCTTCCTTCTGGCCCGAAATGAGTCCTGAATCTTGTCCCAATTTTTGCCCATAGACAGCAGCATCTCGGCTTGGGGGTTATAGCAATCAGCGGCTCTATGTAAACTTTCAGCTCCTCTTTGTCTCATAGTTACTGTTCTACTGCTTCGAAGAGACTAAGACCAAGGAAACTCCTTTAAAAGACAATGTTTAATTGGGGACTTGCAAACAGCTTAAGAGTTAGTCCCTTTATCATCATGGTGGGAAGCATAAAGACCTGGCGTTAGATCCACAAGCAGCAGAAGCAGAAGCAGCAGCAAAGAGACTGGCTCTGGCATGGGCTTTTCAACCCTCAAAGTCTGCCAGCAACAACACACCTCCTAATCCCCCCAAACAGCTCATCAACTAAAACTAAGAACACATATACACGAGCCCATGGGAGCCATTCCCATTCAAACCATAAACTCTTCATGGCCTCCATTTGTCCATGGGTAGCCTCAGGATTTCCTCTAACATGCTCATCTTTCTGATGGTCAAACTATTGAGGGTCAAATATTTCAGATGTTCATGCATCACAGACACAAGGGAATGTATGCTTCTGTACTTACTTATGTTCTAGCCATTAAAAGGCAGGGACCCAGCAACCACCATATACAGGATGACTCCAAGACTTGCTGTATCTACCACGGGGCCCCTGTACTTTTTTTCCCATTAGAAGGGGACCACAGCATATGGTACCTAGCTTGCTTCTAGAACTGAACACATTACAGACGCCAAAGTCCATGAGATGGATGTTAAGGTCAGCATCTACTATAGCTTGGATGTAAAATGTTCCACAAAAGTCGATGTGTTAAATGCTTGATGTCCAGGGTGGTGCTACTAGGAAGTGAAGTAGACCTTTAGAAGGTGGGGCCTAGCCCTCAGGCCACTGGGGCATGCATTCAAAAGGACCATGGGATCCTCGCCTTTGTTCTATTTCTTTCTGCTCCCTAGAACATGAGAGAATTGGTGCTGCTCCTCCATGCATGCCTGCCATGATGTGCTGCCTGGCCTCAAAACTTCAAGAATACAAACCAAAATAACCCTTTTCTCTTTGTAATTGGCTCAGGTATTATTGTAGTGACAGAAAGCTGACCTACACAGATGAAAGGGCAGGTTGTTGGTATGGGAAGGATTTTGAAATGGGATGAAAGTTTAGGATGGGATGGAACAAAACGATGACACAGAATGGGATGATACAGAATGTTGGGATAGAATGGGAAGTAGGGATGGAATGGAATGTTAAGATAGGATAGGATACAATAACGGAATGAGAAGCAAAGGGATGAGCGACAACACTGGAATTAAATGGGGTGATAAGATGAGATGGAATGGAACAGGATGGGGCACTGATCTCTTATTATATCAGGTACTATTGCAATTAGAGCCTTTGACATGTAATTGTAGTTGTAAGCTGCTAATTCTCACATCTTTGTCATACCTAACCATGATTGTAATGTTTGTTTGTTTTTTTCTCCAAAATGTTGCACATAGTATGACAGTTAACCCAGTGCTAAGCAACCATGGAGAAGCAACCGCTATGCTGACAGAAGTGAACTTCTGTATCTACCTATTTGTCTCTGTATGTGTACAGCAGCAGTCTGCCATGCGGTAAGTACAAGAAGGAGATATGTTAGGGAATTTCATATTAATTTTTTTTTTATCTAAAGCTTTTCCTTACTGGAGGAACACACGGGAGTGATATCCAAGTTTTTTGTGCTCCAGAACAGAAACTGAAAAGTATTTTTATAATATTTATATTATTAAACTTTAAGAATAACCTTTACAATATACTCAAACTTTAGTATATAAGGGCAACCTAAAACTTAAAGGTATTTTAATGGAATGTGTGTGTACTGAATTAAAGTTAAAAACCAGAAATATATATTACGTCTTAAAATTCATATTTACCAAAGAAAGATTAACAGAAAGAAGTATCATGCAACTGTATGCTTTTTTTTTGAACTGTATGTATTTTTATTGGTAAGTTTCTTTTTAAAGCACAAGTCTCTGACCAATGTAGCAAGCAAGCTCTAAACTGCAGCAGTATATTTTAATATTTTCAGCTATTTGGAAATTAAAGATGAAATATGGTGGTTTGAATGAGAATGGCCTCTATAGACTCATATATTTGAATGCCTGGTCCCCAAGTGGTGGAACTGTTTGGGAAGGATTGGAACGTGTGGCCTTGTTGGTGTCACTGAGGGGCAGGCTTTGAGGTTTCAAAAGCCCACAACCATTCCCAGTTATTGTGCAATTTCCCTCCCTCCCCACTTTTCTCCCTCCCCCATCCCTGCCCCCTCCCTCTCTCTGCCTCATTGCCGCATGCCTATCTGCTTGCTCACATGCTCCCTGTCATGATGGCCATGACTCACCCTCTACATTGTAAACAACAATAAACTCTATCTTCTAGAAGTTGTCTTGGTAATGTCTCTCAACAACTGAAAAGCAAATAAGACATAAGTGCTGGAAGATGGCTCAACTGAGCATAAGGACCTCATCCAGATCCCCAACCCTTGTAAAAAGCAGGCATGATGGTATGTACTTGTAATGCCAGTCTGGAGGTAGACGCTGTCTCAAAAAGTAAAGGTGAAGACCAAAGATGTGTGGTGTCAACCCTAGACATCTATACACACATACACATGCATTCACATATATACATATGAGACAAAAAATATAAAATGAAATTCTTTTACTACTTAGAAGTAGAAAAGATTTCTGAGACCTACAAAACCCTTAGGATGAGGAGGGACAGAAACTTTCTAATAGTTTTTGAAACTGTTTGCAAATATATACCATGATATAGCATGAAACTATTTGCAAATACATACCATGATAGAGGCCGATAATAATGAGAGCTTTTGAAAATGTGTTTGCAAAATATAGCAAGGTTTCACTTACTAGAGGTCACAAATAATGAGATATTATGCATAAAGGAAATTTCTAAGAGGCTTTAAACTTTAAAAATGCATCTATAATTTTCAAGTTATTTTGCCTAAGATATTTCTACACTGCATTTGCCTTTCCTATTCAATAAATTCCAGGCTAGAAATGTGGCTCAGTGGTAGAGCATTAGCCTACCATAGACAAAGTTCTGGTTTTAATCTCCAGCAAAGCAAAAACTAAAAAATCATCACAAAATACCATTATTTATTTATTTATTTATTTATTTATTTATTTATTTTTAGTTACCATGAACATTAATAACTGTTCTGGGCGTGTTCCTAGATTTCTGCTTCAGACTGCAGTGTTTAACAAGCTTGTTTTATTTTTATAGTCTTGCTTGATGTCAGACTCTTACTGATTATTAAAACCAGGGTACCAGCCAGCCTCTGCCAAGTCTCTCAACTTCTGCAGTGTTCCTGCCTGATGGCCACTCTTCCCGGCTCTCCTGCTCCAGGATGGGAGCTCTGATGATGTTCATGATGTTCAAACGCCACTCAGGCCTCTCTCAAGTCAGGAAGAGCCAGAGTATCTTGTTCTTCTCGTCCCAGACTAGAGTTCTCCACTGCAGCAATAATCCAAGTTTGGACAGGACTAAACGTTGTAGTAAAGGTTGTTCTGTGTATGGCAAGACATTCAATAGCATAGCTAGTCTCCATACACGATGCCAGTAGCTCAGCTGCATGAACTGTGGAGAATTAAGCTGAACACAGAAGCAAGCAGCATGCTCACATCCATTTCTCTCTGATTTTAGCTAGTGGTGTGATGAGACTAAATGCTTCAGGTCCCTGCTGCCTTGACTTCTCCACAACAATGGACCTAAAAGGAATGGTGAACTAAAATAAGCCTTTTTCTTCTACGTTGCTTTCTATCAGGGTATTTTATCACAGCAACAAAAAAAATGGCACTAAGACACAGCTGAAGACCAAGCACTCACACACAAACCTGTAGGTAAAACTTGAGATTCACAACACATTACTGTCCCTGAAATTCACATGGTAACATCATGACCTTTCTGAAATCATGCCTTATGTTTCCTTTGGTCACAGAAGAAACCTAACTCCTGCATCCCACATGCCCAGACTCTAAACTCCATCTACAGTATCTTCAGATCCCTGTCTAAAAAGGAACAAGCAGACAATGGGACAATGCTGTGGCTGTGATGGCATCTATTCTGTACCAGTTTTAGCCATGAGGCTCCAGACAAGTAGACATAATGTCAAAAAATGACCAAAAAGTATTGCTTGTGACTTACAAAATTAAAGAGGAGGCTGAATATGTCCCATGATCCAAAAACAACAAACTAGAAACTAGCAGAATCTATTTTTAATTAAGTTTTATATTGCTATTCCAGGTTCTAAGAGAACTAAAAACTTCTAAGAGATTAAGTAAAACATGTTAAATTCATCATAATTCACATACAAATGTTACAAAGAAATCAAGGTTCACACTTTAAGTTCTTAGTATCATTAATGAAAGAATTTAGAAATAGACTTCGAAGAAAGCCCAAGGCCAACTTTATTAAGAGTTGGAGAGATAAAAACAACAGGTCCAGAGAGCTGAAAATCTCAGCAGTTGCCAGTAGAAGGAGGATGACGACGAGGAAGAAAGTCATGCCTTTAAGAAAGCAGGCAGATTGTTTCTAATTTAAATAAAATTTATTTTAAAAAAAATAAAAAAGCAGGCAGCATTGGTAATGGAGAACAGCAAACAACTATGACAGAGGGAGTGGGGCTTCCCAGAAAAAGGATGAGAAAGCAAGAGTGTGCAGGAACCATGGCCAAGCTTTAGCAAATACCCAAAAGGTAACAAAACTATGCCAAAGAAGAAAAGGTTAAAAGTATCACTTTTCTGAGCAACCAAAAAAGCCAACAGGCATCCATGCTAGATGCTGGAAGCTATGCAAATGACTGCACAAAGGAAGTCTTGTGGAAGGGTAAACAAATTATCCCATTAAGGGAGTAATTACTCCTACCTCTTTGGCATGGCTTTAGGTGAACCAGGCTTCCTGAAGGCTGGTCTCTTGACCAGGTGATTGACAGAATCAGGGGGGGGGACAGCACAATAATATGCAATAATATGCAATATTCTAATCTTTGGAGCAGATCAGACAGAATGCCGTGTCTCCATCCAGGGTCAGAGGTTGATGCCATGCTTTGACCAGGAGGAAACAGCTTGCCCTTAATAGGCCTCAATAGAGCCCTTACATCCGCAATGGCCTCCAAAGCTACTGTAAAGGCAAATCTGAATTGTTAAAACTAACTAAATGGATCCAAACATCAAACCTTTCAGTGGCCCTGCTGCAGCCTGACACACCAGCAAAAACCAAGAATTGAATCTTTAAGCTGTGTTTTATTGAGAGCCAGAAAGCTGAAAAGACTGTGCACTAGCACCCTAAAGCTCTCCCACCTCATCTTAGCCCTCAGTTTAAACAGAAAGGGGAAACAAAGGTAGTCAATCATTTCTGGTTTAGTTTTGTCCCTCTGGTCACATGGTTCAACTTATCCCCAAGATCTGTGGTTTTGGAATACTTCTCCTCCTCTCTGCTGCAGGGAGGAGTTCCCAACGCTGAGGCCAGTGGCTCCTCCAGAACCAATCCTCAGGATAACATCTCAATTGATGAGCAGCTCAGAGCAAACCTTTAGCAGTGTGCACTCCTTCCTAAAACCTTATGCTGCACAGTGCTCCAGACCCTGCCCCCTAACAGAGCCAGCTTTACTGTGATTAGAGAGTTACAGGACAGCAGTTCAAAATGAGTAATCAAGATTTCTTCGTGGTCACTCCATTGCTCTCCATAACTCAGTAAAGCAACTAACAGCATTTGCTTAGCCTTAAAAGTAGGCTATTGCATGCTCCTAGGTGATGCCCATATGGCAAGAGTTCCTGAAAAGAAGCATGGAACCTCCGGCAAGGTCTAGTGACTGGTGGGAAGCTCAGTCCTCTTGGAGAGGCTGGAAGGCTACAGGCCCAGAGCCTAAGCACAAGTTATCACAGGTTACCTTCAGCCTCCTCAGTAGCCACTGCTTGCTGACTGAACATCCTTGTAACTAACACACAAAACTTTTATGAATATATTCATGCAACAAACCACTAACTTCTACCAAACGAAAGGCAAATGTCTTCAGATACAGTCTGGGTCCTGAAACAGATTTCCTTGCTTTGATTCAACCCTCATACCTAATGTTTCCAACAATGTACTTAAAAGGTACCTTGACTTATGACTTTGTTCTTTCACTATAAAACTTCATGAAACTCTCTGGAGCATGCAATGTATATTCTCAGGCCATGGTCACTCACAGAGAATAATCTATCTCTTACTCTCTTTGAGGTGAGTGACAATTGTGTTTTGCTTTGATAATAACTAGAATTTAAATCATGCTTCCTTGGAAGAGCTCATAAAATACTCTGTAAAAAAAAATTAAAAATCACCTTGCATAGTATTTAAACCATGAACAGATTCCTAAAGAGTCTAGCCCAAAGTAAAAAAAAAAAAAAAAAAAAAAAAAAAAAAAAAAAAGCCAAAAAAAAAAATAAAGACTCCAAAGGTGTCTAGGAGCAGCAAGTAGCTGCAAGGTAGGCTCATGCTCTTGTTGGCTAAGGAATGCCTCCAAGGGCCAATAACCTCCTTTCTCTCTACACTGCTTCTAAATCCTGAAGCTACAGTTCAAAGTCTTCCCAGTATGATGGGAACTGGAGAGACGGATCACCTGAGCCTTCTCTCTAGCATCAGTTCCCAGCACCTACATGGTGGCTCCCAGAGGAGTCAGGTTCAGTTCCCACCACCCACATGGCAGCTCTCAACCATCCAGTTCCAGGGGATTTGATGCCCTCTTCTGACCTCCCCATGCACTAGGCACACATGTGGTCAGACACACTTACAAGCAAAACACACATAAAATAAATCTTTTGTTAAAAAAGGTCCTCTGGGAATGAGAATCATGTGTTCTTTTCAGTGATTCATGACAGTTAAACAGAAAGTTGGTTAGTTCCTAGGGACAAAAAACATCAGTACTGAGAACACACCTTTGATATGCAAACCAAACAATCAAGGGTCTAAGCTCCTTTTAAATCAGGAGACCATAGAACTTCCCTTAAACATCCTGGGTACCAACCAACAAGAGCAGCACAAAGCAGGAGCACAGAATAATAATGCAAACTATGTGATCCTAAACTTGCTTATATGGCCTATCCTTGCTTGCCCCATTCTCTCCATGAAGACCATAATAAAGGCCTTGGCCCAGGCTTCCCCTGGGTCCTTCTGCCTCATGATTTACCTGGGTGCTTCCCAGGTAGACTGGCATGGCCCTGCCTCTCAGGAATTATTAGCTAATAACTCTACCTTTGCAATAGCAACCCTCTCGTATTCCACTGGACTCATTAATAAGACCTCCATTTAAAAGTCTCTTAGAGCAGACTGTAGTGAGTAACTCAGAGACACAAGCCTGTGACCCAGTACACTAGAAAAGATACAGAAAGAGAGGCCTAGAGAAAAAGAGCCTATCTAAAAACAAGGACGGGAATCAGGAATAAGGAGAGGAAAACGGGAGAGTAAAGAGAGAAGTAGAAATGGTGAAAGTATGTTATTTTCATGAATGAATGTGCCAAAATGAAGCACTTTTTCTATATAAAGGCATCAATAAAAAATTTAAAAACAGAAATAACTTTAATGTTTATGATTTTTCTAGATCACAAAACAACCGAGCTTACATTTATAAAATGGATTTCCATTTAATTTTAGAATAAATATATTTCATTTAATAAGTGAAAACAAAAAATTTTCCCTTTCCAATTTCTCCCTGGACCACTAGGTCAACGTAAACCCTTTCTTCCTTTTCTCCAAAGAAAGAGGGTCTCAAGGTCAGAAGAGATTGGGGGGGTGGGGGCAAAATGCAAGCTATTATGAACTGAAATTCCCAGAAAAGTTACACTTTATTCTGAAGATTTTACAAGACTAACTGATAAAAACTTCCTGATTGTGGTGAGTTGGAATGTTACAGATCCAGAGGCAAAATTATACTGACTACCCCTCAGTCCACTTAATAGCCATTCACTGTCTACCTTCTAGATCTGACCTAACACCTTTATCATCAGTAGGTAAAACCTTTGCAATGTATTAACTTAGTAGATCACATGTTTCAAGTAACAAAAAGCTCAGAGAGGGTGGAGGCAGAGAGTGCAGAGATTACCAAATGAAAGAAGGCTCAGCAGAGGGCAGCTGGACATCTGCGCTGCTAGCTCCTTG